CCTCCCCTTCTCCCCCCAAACACCCCAATTCATCCAGCCACCTTCCACTTTTTTTCGGGACCGTGCTAATCGAGCAATGCCTCGCACAGTGGATGGGTACCCAACTCGGCTCTCCAAGAGCTCTCCGTAGAACGCGCACAGGAACTGCTGACCGATAAGGTCAAGAAGAAGGAGTTGCGAGAAGCCTTCGAGCTCGCCATTGAGCGGCACCCGCTCGACTATTACAAGGAAATGCTACAGAGATGGGCCGAGGAGCAAGAAGCCAGGCGGCAAGAAGCAGAGGAGGCGGCAGAGGCCAAGGCCGCTGCTGCGGCGAAGAAGAAGAAGAGGGCGTCGATGGCGGCGTTCGACGAAGACATGGATGTCGAGATGGCAGATGCTGTCGAAGAGGAGGCGAAGCCCAAGTCCAGCAAGAAGCGCAAGGCTGAAGAGGCGGCGGTGCGTGCATTCGACCTTCCACCCGTCCCATCAGGACATGGCTCTACTGTGATTTCCGAGACGTTTACTGACTGGCCAAGCAGACACCCCAGCGGGCTGAATCGGTCAAGAAACCCAAGATCAAGCTGACAACTTCGTCCACCCCTAAGACGGCGAACGGAACCCTCACGACCAAGTCATCCTCTAAGGAAGCGATAACCAAGTCCGGTTCGAAAACCAAGCTCAAGAAGGAGACGGGTGAGAAGAAGGAGGTGCCCAAGGAGCCAGAGCTCACCCCTGAGGAGAGGCGTTTGCGCAAAGAGGTATTTCTTCTTTCCTTCCTTTTCCGAGACAATAGCGCTAACCACCGATGTACAGAAGGAGGTCCTTTTCCTACGCCACAAGCTCCAGAAGGGCCTTCTCACGCGAGAACAGATTCCCAAAGAGGAGGAAATGAAGCTCATGTCCGACTACATCGCCAAGCTCGAGGGCTTCCCCGATTTGGAGGTATCGATCATCCGGGCGACCAAGATCAACAAGGTGCTTAAGGCGATCCTGAAGCTTGAGTCCATCCCGAAAGAAGCCGAATTCGAGTTCAAGGCGCGGTCGCAAGCGCTTCTCGACAAGTGGAACAAGATACTCAGCGGTGGCGAAGCAGCAGCCGCCGCCGCACCGGCGTCATCGGCCAACGGGGTGAACAAGGGAGCAGAGAAGAAGAGCGAGCCGGAAGCGGGCGCCAACGGCGTCAAGGGAGACGATGACAAGGAACCCGAGAAGGCTGACAAGTCTGAGAAGTCTGAAGAGACCGACAAGGCTGAGAAGGCGGACGAGGCTGAAAAGACGAAGACCGAGGAACAGGAGGATGCCGCTGCAACGACCTCCAGGGAAGTGGCAGCGGAAGCCTAGTGTGTTTTTCCGAGGGGTATCCCGAAGCGTATCCCGAGATCAGTGCCAGCCTGACAGAGCATTTCTTTTTTTGTTTTTCGGTGCGACCAGCACACCAAGCCTCCGGGCATCGTTCGAAGACTAGCTCAGGTTCCGCTACCGAGCCTTAACGACCTTCCTTTTGCTTCTATTTTTCCTTCTTTAGGCGTACACGGGTAGTCATTTGCAAAAAGTTGCCTTTTTTATCTTCTGCTCTTCCCGCTGGGCTCTTTTCTCTTTTATGTATTTTTTTTTTCCTTCCTTGCGATCGATTCGACGAGTTTATGTACTATTACACCAACCTCGATGCTTTTTATTTCTCCTTGTCGCCCAGGAGATGTCGCCGGATCGCCATACCGTCGCTCGACGGGAAGGGTTTGCCGAAGAGCGCGCACGCTGCCCATTACCGTCAATACAATACGACCCGTATTGAGCGGAGGCCTACGAGGACATGGCAGAAACACCCTGGGGGGAGGATGGAAGGAGGGGATGCCAAGAACAATGGCGGGGCTCTACGCAGCCACGGCAGGTAGCGGCAAGGACGGAGGGCATGAGAGGATTCTTCGGAGAAGGGAAATGGGTGTTTTCTTTAGGGACTAGAAGAGTCGCGTCTTGGATGACTCTGAAGCCGGGGGAGAGGAACATTATATACCTCTTCTTTCCCGCCAGTAGTATCTGAGCAAGCCGGCAAGGGACGCTGGACGGAGGGAGAATGGTGTTCTTGCGTGATGTGCGCGTTGGATGGCCTGGCCTGACCCCTGCAGAAGGCATAGCAACCTGGACTGTCGATGGTGTTTGGTGGGATTGTTCTAGAGGATTGACTCTGCAACTATGATTCAGTAGTAATGAGATTGATGTATTGATATATGGCCGCGTTTAGTTGAGAAGAATCGAGAACTGGAGTGACGGAGGAGTCGAGTACGTACCCCGGTGTCACGGTGCAATCTACAAATTACACTGTATACAACATGGGAGACGCGTTTGGTCTCGCGTCCAAGAGACAAAGAGACTTGACCTTCATAATTGCGGTATCGACAGCTTCAACTCAGAACAAGGTCCCATAAGGCCATGCCTCCACCAAATATGAAATATGGCTTCACAAGAAGAGACTGAAACTCCCTTCTCACGACAAGATCACCAGGTATGGCTTATTCATGACGGGGAGAAGCACACAGAATAAAACGTTGCGATTCACGATGCTCATCCGCTCACCAGGCCGCCTACATCTTCCGACCCCAGGGCCAACGTCAGAGTCAGGGTCAGGCCCAAGCATCTGCAGAGCGCCCATCCAAGAGGAGACGCACGTCAAACAAGGCCGCGCCGCCCGTAGCAAAGTCGGTACCCGAGGGGGACGCGGGCCTGGCCGCTTCGGCTTCCGTTACGCCATCGTCGCTCTTCGTCCCTTTGCTTAACGGCCTTGAATCGGTCGCCTGCGTGCAGCTGCGTGAGAAGCTGTTTCATGATGCTTGGGGTCGGAACGAGACTCGAGTTCAGGTATGAGACATGTTTATTTTATCCCTACATCTAATCTAGTCTGCTGCTTCGGTTCTTTTTTTTTTTTTTTTTTTGAGGAGTCTGTCTCTACTAAACGCACAGCGCTACAGAACATCCTCCGCGACGCCAATTCCGCTACCCTGGACCAGGTGGCTACGTTTGTGCAGGCCGAGAGGGAATGGCGGTGAGTGTGAAATCCTCCTCCAGCCTCCATGAAGTGCATCTGACGATGGACGGAAACAACTAAAACAAAAAGCAATAGAGACAAGATAGCCTCGGCCTTCATCATCACCGGCGCCAACATCGCGTCGCAGGACCTGCTCTTCGGACAGCTGGCCGAGAGGCTAAACACGGGCACCCGGAGCAGGTTCGTTCGCCTGCGGTCTTCCGAGGCGACGAATGTCAAGGCTGCGCTTAAGAAGATTATCCAGGATGCCACGGCCGGGGATTCGTCCGAGGGGTATGACGATGAGGATGTCGAGGTGTCATTAGGCTTTGATGTATGAGGGAGAGCCCAGACCTTTTTCTTTTTTCTTTTTCTTTTCGACCAGCACTGATACTGGGGTGGTAACTGGCTACAGGACCGGAAATATCTCAACTACGATCTAGAGAGCCTGCATGTCTATGTAAAAGCACATTCCTGTCAGCGAGTCTGCGTCGCTTTCCAGGATAGTGAGGGATTCGACAGTGCCCTGTTGTCCGACCTCGTCGTGCTTTTCAGGTATTTCTTTTCCCATCTTTGCCCTGCACTGCAGACTTTGGTCATCTCACAGCTAGAACAGTTCGTGGATGCCCCGGATCCCGTTTACCTTGCTCTTTGGCGTGGCCACGTCCGTCGACTTGCTTCAGGCTCGGCTGCTCAAATCGGCCTGTCGCCTCCTCTACGGTGCGCAGTTCGACGTCGTGCGTACCGACACCATCCTCGAGCAGGTGTTCAAGCCCGCCGTCGCCGGGGCCGACGTCCTCCTGCGTCTGGGGCCTTCCTTGCTCCAGAGCTTGATCGACAGGCAACATGACCACGTAGCCGGCATCCATTCCTTTTTGAGTTCCCTCAAGTACGCGCACATGTGCCACTTCTACGCGAACCCGCTCAGCATATTCGCCGCCGCAGACGACGCGCTGGGAAAACAACTCATGCAGCCCGAACACCTGGGAGCCGTTCGGACGCTCCCCTCGTTCCGACAGGCCGTCGAGGACGCCGTCGAAGCGGGCCGGTTGGGAACAGCACGGTCTCTGCTCGACGACGACGATTACCTCCGCGAGAGGATCCTCGAGATCCCGAAGAGAAGGGAAGAGTGGACGCTCGGAGTGCTCCGGGCCGTGGCGCTCCTCCAGGCGCTGCGCGTCGGGCAAGACGGGTTCCCCCAAACGTACCTGGCGGCGCTGTCGGAGGGAATCGACCTCTCGGCGGACGAGAACACCGACAGCCACCACGTCGTGCCATCCGTCAAGCGCATGTCGCCGGACGAGTTCGTCGCCATGCTCACCCGCGTCTCCGAAACCATGAGAAACGGGGACCCCGCCCTCCGCCTGCCGGGATGGGACGACCTCGGGAGCCAGGCTGCAGGGGCAGACGTCGGCATGGATAGTAATAGTACGGACATTTCCGACTCCTTCGAAGCCCTCGCGGCCCGGACCAGGGCCCTCATCCTCCAGGCGCGGAGGGACGGGAAACCCCTCAAGAGCGCCTACAGCGGCCAGCGCAGGGTCGTGCGCACGACGGTGGTGGCGCAGAAAGTGCAGCTGAGCCGCGACTCGGCGGCGCTGTCGGACGCGGACAAGGCGTTCACCAAGGTGGTGGACGGGGCGGTGGCGCTGCTGGCGGGGACGGTCCGGTGCGTGGCCGCCGAGCGGGTGTTTTTGCACGAGACGTGGCTGTACGACGCCAAGATGCCGTACCGCGACGTGTTTGTGCCGCGGCCGCGGGTCGTGTTCGAGAGGAGCTTGACGAGGCCGCATGATTACCTTGCTTGTGCGTGCTGTCGCGTGGAGGACGATGAGGGGGCGGGGGCAATCCCGGCGACGTTGCCGGTTACGTCGCTCCTTTACCACCTTTACCTGGAGACGCCTGGTCTTATCAACGTGGCGGACTTGTGGGCTGCTTTCTATGGGGTGGTTGGCGAAGGGGCGGGGGCGGAAGGGGAAGCGGAAGGGGAAGGGGAGGTCGGGAGGACGGAGAGGTCGGGGGGTTACGATGAGCGGACTGCTCTGGTGTTGTTCTATAGGGGGTTGGCGGAGTTGAAGGCGCTTGGGTTCGTCAAGCATAGCAGGAAGAAGGTGGACCATGTTGCTAAGATTAAGTGGCTTTGACGGAAAGGGAGACGGGTATGTCGGTTGGTGTCTTCATTATGTATGGACTTTCTGGTCTGTTGTTCAACTTTCTTGCTGAGGACCGAGACACCATCACACGTAAAGTTGTGCAGCATGTTGCTTTTACCTTTTCCTTTCCATCCGACCGAGAAGACCAACGATTACGAACAGATCAGGTACGATATGCATACCGTCCCTTCTACCGTCCCTTCTCAAACCGCTGTCGTCAGTCGTGAGGCGGTCACGTGACTTTAAGGATCGACGGGCACCTCAGTGACCAGAGAATCCACCACGATCCTCTTATGAACTATGTAGCCACTTCGTACGAGACGAACACTTGCCTTGCCGTTTTCAGTTGGCTATGTGTTGTCGATCGTGTTCCTCTTGTATCCGTACCGCGTACGTTCAAGATGAGCACTACACGTACAATGTACACTAAAAACAAACCCTCGATAAACCGGAGACACCGACCGCTACAGAATGTCTCGGCTTCCACCGATTAATTTCAGACGCAAGACACCGTTAACGAAAAAGGGATGGACAAACGAACATGTCTCACCCGGGAACCGCCGCCACAGCATGAAGTACTTTGTACAGGACAACCGTCGTCCGGTAGGGGTTTGTTTCCTGTGGTCTCACCTTGAGACCTTGGGAGTTAGGACAAAGGGAAATTCCGAGGGCAGAGTGACAGGGTGCGTGTGGGTGGATTGTGGCGGGACCCGCATAAACTCCCATGTGAAGAGAGAAGACGTGAAAGCCACGAGATGGAATCCGACCATCTGGATCAGGGGGTGGGGGTTTCATTTTAATGCCGGGTGTGGCTGAGCTACGAAGTACAACGTACAACGTACCTACTCGGTACCTTACTCGGTACTCGGTACTCGTATTCCGTGCTCCGTAGTTCCATTGTCCATACCTATGGTACCTATGTAGGTACGGAGGATTCCGTAGCCCGAATGGCTTCCCAAGATAGTAATAACCCAAAATCGAACAAAGGAAATGTGAAAAAAGAGAGAGCAAAAAAATGACATGATTAGTCGGCCCAATAAAGGAGGAAAAAAATACGCTAAAGAGAGAGAAAGAGAGACCTTTGTGTCGCCTGACGTCGCCGTAGCGCCCCGCCGTCCCCATGGTCATGGTTATCGGTGACGAAAGTGACGAAACGGAAAAACGGAAAACCCCAGGTTCGAACACAGGTTCGAACAGGGGATACTTAGCTAAGACTTTCTTCGCTTGTTCATCCAATACCGGCATGCCGCGTGCTGGAAGAACCCGTTGGATCTGGAACAAACGGGCCCCTTCCCCATCTCCCCAATCTCCCGGGGCAGCGCCATTTGTTAGTCATTGTCTGGGGGGGGGGGCGCCTTTCTCTGTAGTCTCCTCCCAAGCTTTCTTTGGTTCGTCTTTCGGTTCAGTTCGTTTGTTCCCATAGATGATAGAACCATAGGTATCAGACGTTGTCGACGCTGTCTTGCCTCGAGCGACGAACACAACTAGTTTTGTTTCACATCTTCGCATCCACCCTCATTTTCTTTGATGATGTCTCGGTTCGGCTTCAAAGGAAAGCGGTTCGTCAATGGACGAGGCCAGGATGATGATGGCTGAGTGTCGGCAACTTCCTTTAGCTTTATATCGGTTTCCTTGTTTGTCTTTCTTTGGGTGGGTAAGGCAGTGCAGTGTAGTCGACCGAGTCGAGTCGACTCCAGTCGAGTCCATGATTTAATTACTTCGGACTCGTTCGTACTCGCTCGTACTTATTCGACCTTTGATTCCCTTTTATAAGTACCGTCTATATCTACTCCTTGCATCATCTCAAGATCGGTACTGCAACTGCTCTGATCATTCCTAATAAGGACGCCTCAGCAACACTCACAACAATAACCTTCATCTTGCTCCATTCTACTAGCAATCTCCCTCATCACGAAATTGGAAGGATCTTGACTGTTGTCAGACTTGCAAGGGGACTGACTCCAGTATCTCCCCGGGCGAAGAGGGGGACAAGGCAAAGGCAAAAGGCAAAAGTCAAAATACGACGAACAATGTCCGCAAGCCGGGAACCCCGTCGAGGCCGATCCTCCAGCCACAGCCGAAACCGAGGCGACAGGAACGCCACCAGTAACACCCTCCGAGCTACGCCCGCCCAGTCGGGAGCAGGCATAACACCCAGCAAATCCAGCAACCACTCCACGATGCGGCGAGGTAAAGGTGCAAGCTCAAGCACAAGCACACCATCAAACGCAACCGCACCATCAAACGCAACCGCAAGACCATCGCGCGTCTCCCCCGCCTTCAAGGAGAAGCTCCGCCAGCTCACCCAGCCCCTGGCCCCCCTGGTCCAGATGACCTCGGGCGCCGTGCACCCGCGCTTCCCGCGCACCCTGCTCGGCTTCTGGCTCCTCACCGACGCCGACCTCGACGACCTCGCCCGCTTCTACCACCAGCGCGACCCGAGCCCGTGGAAGATGCAGTACCCGTGTCCCGTCACCTGGGACGAGGCCCTCCCCACGCGTCAGAAGAGGCGCAAGTTTGGCAAGTTTATTGGCCTACGGTATGTGCACTCCTTTCCGATGGATGACGACGCAGAATTAAGAGATGGAAAATTGTGAAAAGAGAAGATTGTGAAAAGAGAAGATTGTGAAAAGAGAAGACGCTGACACAATATATAGAGGCTGCGAAACTCCCGTCTCCCTCGTGGCACCCCCGCTACCCCTGACACAGAGGATGGAGACTACCACCACCACTACTACGGCGATGGAGGCCACGACGACGCCGACGACCCCGTCTCATCGTTGGCTTACTACCGAGGAGCAGATCGTGGAGAGCGCGCGCCGCGCACGTCTCGCCGAGGATAACGAGGAGGCCCTCCAGAAAAAGCTGTACTGGCACAGGTGATCGTCGTGATGACCCTGTGACACGACGTAAACTCGCATCATCCTTCCTTGTTTAGGTTCGTCAGCTTGTATTCCAATTCGGCAGCGTTTCATGGGCATGGCACAGCATTGGCGTTTGGGGGTCTTTTTTATCCATTTTCTTTTTTACTTATTTTCGTCTTCGTTTTTTGGATACAAGGTAGCATAGCAATGGCGAAAAGCAAGCAAGCAGCCAAGCATCCTTTAGCTATCTTATCCATCATGCCTCACGGCTCACACACTGCAACGGTACTACAAAGAGAGATCTCTTTTGCCACTCATGGTATCCATTGTAAGGGATCCGGGAAATCCCTTTTGCCCGTCTAAAACATTATCCTGGGCCCGCTAAACGCCTATCGATTTGAAATGAGCCATGTCCTGGATGACCGGCGAATGAGGTTTGATAGTGTATATCTGCCTCTTCGCCTCGCCACCCTTCCCAAGTCTGTTCGTAGTTATACAGAACCATGGAACTGCGTGCGCCGGTCCTTAAACCGCCAATAGAGAGAGGCGGCGGTATTTAGGCAGTAGTGCGCAGGGGAAATCCACCACCGGGTGAAGCTAGAGGGGATCTCGGAAGTAGCGAAGGAAGGAAGACGTAGATGTCCTCAGTTCTTCTTGCCCTTCTTCTTTTTCCCCGCGGCGCCCACGACCACAGCGTCCGGCTCGCCGTCGACACTAGAAGGGGCTGTAGAAGCGGAAACGCTCTTCCCGTCCTTGCTGTCACCCTCGTCCAGCTCGCGCATGAAGTCCGCCTGGATAGCCGCCCGGCGCTTCTCCCACCACGCCTTCTCCGCCTCTGTCTGCTCCTGGATGTTATCCAGCTTCTCGCGGAGGGTGGTGTTGGCTGCGATTTCGTTGGCGGACTGGAAGATGATCTGGCCCCAGTTAGGGGCTAGGGCGTTTGCCTGTGATGCGATGAGCGGTCAGTACGGGTTACGAAACGGGCGGGATGGCGGAAAAGAGGCAGAAGAAAAAAAAAGAAGAAAAAAAAAGAAAAAAGAAAAAAAAAAGAAAGAAACGCACCTCCATGACAACATCGCGAAGCTCATCCTCCAACTCCTTCTCCGCCCGCTGAAACCGCTGCCAAAGATCATCACCGACGCTGCCCTTCTGCAAAAGAGCGCTACAAGCCTGCTTCGCTGTCCGGATCTGCACGAGGCGGTGGATGTCCTCGACGGCACGCCGGAGGAGGGCCGCGCGAATCACGCTGTCGGGGATACGGGGCGAGGCCTCCTTCTTCTCCTTGCCCTGCTCGTCGTCTCGCTGATCGAGATGGAGAAGGCTCAGGTAGATGTCGCGTTGGAGGTGGGGGCCGAACCAGGGAGCCAGGTTTGCGCTTTGGGCTGGATGGGGAAAGACAGGTCAGTTCAGTCTGCCACTGGACGTCATGGGCAAAAAAAAGGAAAGAAAAATTCAAAGGAAGAAGAAAACAAATCGCGAAAGACTAGAACATACCGGCCTTGCGTTTCCTGTAGATGGTCGAGAAAGTGTAGAGAGAACCGCCCAGGACGAAGAGATATGCGACTGGGAGCGCAAGGCTCAGCCAGTCGATCTGTGGTATGCTGAAGCCCATTGCTGGGACTGTATGACTACCTGTCTTATGATTGAGTCAAGAAAGGAGTAGTATCGGGAATATTTGACAAAGCAGGGTGTTGTCGCTGCTACTTTGGGGCTGGTTTGTGTTGTCGTCGCAGTGTCGAGCGAGGTCGAGTCTTGGTGTTCTGAAGATCTGAAGACTGAAGATGCCAGCTGGTGGGATTGACGATGGACGATCTGGCCCTCCAGGGTACGTACCGAAGATTATGAGAGCTTCTTAATAGGAGCCCCGCAAAATAACCTGATTGGGATTAGCGTGCATTGTGGCCAGAGTGCCGTTAGGATGCTGATAAGTGGACATAGTTATCTTATCTTATCAGCCTTGATGGCCATTTACGGGGTACTTCGTGACGACCCTCAATATCCATCGTCTCTGCGCCGACATGTGATTACTTACTGTATCCTAGGTAGATTTGAAAAGAAAAAAGAAGAAAAAACAAAGAAAGAAAAAAGGAAAGAAATCTAGATAAACAAAAAGGACTCAATGCCGTATAAAGCTTCAGATTCTTACAAGACATATACTGAGCCGCATAACTGGAATATTAGTCAGAAGGACTACTACTACCGGGTCGGCTTGGTCGGTTCTAGCTTAGATCGGCCCGATCGGAATTTGTGTCATCTCGGCCCGTGTGCTTCTCGGCAGTGTTGGCTTTCAGCCGGACCGCTCCGATATAGACCGATAGGATTTGTTCGGTGATAGGGTGCCGATTGGGAGAGAAGAATGATAAGGCCTTCCGCCCGACCCGGACCTGTGGCCTTTATATAGGTACCTTATAGAACCCTCGACAGATCTCTTCAAGCAAACCTATTTTCCCTCCACTGGAACCCATCATCAAAAGACGTCAACCGTGCTCAAAAGAGTCAACCGCAGCTATGGCGTGCTCGTCACAAAACTCGTCCGTCTTCCACCGTTCGCTGCACAAGCCGTACCCCACCGCGGTCGGCGGCGAGGGCGTCTACCTCTTCACAGCAGACGGCCGGAAAATCCTCGACGGCAGCTGCGGCGCCGCCGTCTCCGGCATAGGCCACGGCAACAAGGAGGTCATCGAAGCCGTGTGCGAGCAGATGCGGCGGCTCGCCTACATCCAGACGTCCTTCTTCACCACGGACCCGGCCGAGGCGCTCGCGAGCGCGATCCTGGAGAACAGCGACGGCGCCTTCTCCAAAGTCATGTTCCTGTCCTCGGGCTCCGAGGCCGTCGAGTCCGCCCTCAAGATGGCCCGGCAGTACCACGTCTACAACGGCCAGCCGGAACGCGTCCACGTCGTCGGCCGCCACCACTCGTACCACGGCAACACCCTGGGCGCGCTCGCCGCGGGGCACAACCCGTCGCGCCGGGACACTTTCGCCCCGATCCTGTCGCCGGCTTTCCACCACGTGCGGAGGTGCTTTTACCAGGCCGACGGCGGGGGCTCGCTGAGCGAAGCCGAGTACGAGGACGAACTGCTGGCCGAATACGAGGAGACGTTCAAGAGGTTAGGGCCCGAGACCGTCGCGGCCGTGATTGTCGAGCCTGTGGTGGGTGCGACGTTGGGTGCGGCGCCGGCGACGCCCAACTACCTCCCGCGGCTATCGAAGCTGTGCCGCAGCTACGGCATCCTGACCATTTTCGACGAGATCATGTGCGGCATGGGGCGTGTAGGGACGTACCACGCCTGGCAGAGCCTCGGGGGCGTCAGTCCGGATCTGCAAACCGTCGGCAAGGGCCTCGGCGCCGGATACCAGCCCCTGTCGGCCGTGTTGGTAGGCCCCACGGTACACAACGCTTTCCAGGAGCACTCGAAGGGATCGAACGGCTTCATCAGCGGGCACACCTTCCAGGGACACCCGGCGGCCTGTGCGGGAGCCTTGGCCGTGCAGAAGATCCTGAAGCGGGACAACCTGATCTCCAAGTGCGGAGAGCTGGGCCAGGTCCTCCACGACGCTCTGGAGTCGCAGCTGCCCGAGGAGTTGTCTCAGGGCGGAGGCAAACTCAGGGGTATGGGTCTGTTCCGAGCCGTCGACTTTGGGGATATGGGTGCTTCATACGGGGGGCCCTTGGCCGAGGAGGTGGCCACCAAGGCTTTCGACCTGGGTGCGTCCGTCTATCTCTGCTCGCCGAATGTCGACGCCATCTTGATCTGCCCGCCATTCATCTCGACAGAGGAAGAGATTAAGGAGCTCGCCAGAATAACTATCCAAGCAGTAAAGGAAGTGCTAGAAAGGAAGAACGCCTCTCAGGAGTGATTGATGGTGGATGGACGTTGATTGTGTTCGATACCTCATGATATTTGCCTGGATTACTTGAATATTAGATATTAGAACTTCAATGATAACTAATCAGCCTTACATAAGCCAGGTCTCTACCGGGTTCCCAAGAAGATCATGTAATCTAATCGCCCAGGAGACAATTAAGGTACCTTTTAATCGCCGTTATCTTCTCCGTTGGACCCATTTGTTGATTAGTAATGGAGCTCCGCGCTGATGACGCTGGGACAGAGCTCCAAAGGCGACGGCCTTGACCTCTGTAGCCCTTCCACTCCTCCACTAGCCAGCTTGACCTTGGTCTTTCCACACCCTTCTACGTACAGTCACCCTCACCTCGAAATTTGACTCGTGTTTTCTCTCCTTTACTCTCGATCCTGACCCATCTAATTCTTAAACCGCCGCCGATTCCGGTCCCTCTGTCTTGTTTCTCTTCCCTGTTCCCTCTTCCCTGAACTCCCCCCCGCCCCCCCCCAGTAGGCCACTTCTCGAGTGCATCAACGGCTTCTTCACAATGCTTCTGAGACTACGTGGGCCGGACGGCATGGCCCGTCTGTCCCTAGACCAACAGACTACGTTTGGAGAACTCGGCCGTCAGGTATGGAGCTTCTCTTTGTTGCCCTGTCCGGTCCATCCTCCATCCATGCAGTTGCCCGAGACCTGACTTTCTTTTGCTCGTCGTAGCTACTCCCGACTCTCCCCGACACCGTCGACCCCGACACCATTACGTTATCCAACTCGCCAACCGGAGGGGACTCAAAACGCCTTCGAGATATTGCATCTTTCAAGCTAGGCCAGATCGGTTTGAAGTAAGCCCGCACCTACCTGATCCCGTCCCTTCGGCCGTGGAGCGTGATGGCTCCAAGTCTGAAAATCGGTGCAGTGGCAGAAGCTGACATACCCAGACATGGCGACCTCGTCTTTGTCAACTACAAACACCGAGATAGCTCCTCGAAGGCAGCAGCTACTAACGGCGACACCCCTGTGCTCGCCTCGGCAAACCGTCTCAACGGCAAGCCCATCCTCCCCAACGAAGATCTCCCCATCGCTACCGACCCTTCCACATCGCCGACCGTCGAGAGGATTTCGAAACCTTGGGAGGTGGTCAAACAGTCGCTTCTGGACGACCGTCTCGATAAGAAAGACGGCAAGATCCCGCGAGGGCGTGACAAGATGTGCAAACACGGCCCCAAGGGTATGTGTGATTACTGCATGCCCTTGGATCCCTTCAATCCCAAGTACCTCGACGAGAAGAAGATCAAGTACCTCTCCTTTCACTCTTACCTTCGGAAGATCAACTCGGTCACCAACAAGCCCGAACTCGGGAGCTCTTTCATCCCTCCCCTAGCCGAGCCCTATTTCCGCGTGAGGCGAGACTGCCCGTCTGGCCATCCCCAATGGCCTGAAGGCATCTGCACCAAGTGTCAGCCGAGTGCCATCACGCTGCAGCCCCAGCCTTTCCGAATGGTCGACCACGTCGAGTTCTCCTCGCCTGCCATCATCGACACCTTTATCGACTCGTGGCGGAAATCGGGCGCACAGCGCCTGGGGTACATGTACGGCCGGTATGCCGAGTACGAGGTGGTACCCCTCGGCGTCAAGGCCGTAGTCGAGGCGATCTACGAAGTGCCCCAAGTCGACGAGGTCGACGGTGTTTCATTGAATTCTTGGGACAACCAGAAGGACATCGACGCCGTCGCCAGGCTCTGCGGGCTGGAGCAGGTTGGCGTCATCTGGACAGACCTCCTCGACGCTGGAAACGGTGACGGTTCGGTCGTCTGCAAGCGTCACGCCGACTCGTACTTCCTGGCCGCGCAGGAAATCTGCTTCTCGGCACGCCAACAGGCCCAGCATCCCAAGCCTACCAAGTGGAGCGACACGGGGAGGTTCGGCTCCAACTTTGTCACCTGCATCGTTTCCGGGAACGAGTCGGGCGAGATTGCCATATCCGCCTACCAGGCGTCGAACGACGCCGTCGAGATGGTCCGCGCCGATCTCGTCGAGCCCTCGGCAGACCCTAATCTCATGCTCGTCCGCGAGGAGGAAGAGGACGACGGTTCCGAGAGCCGCACCAGATATATCCCCGAAGTCTTCTACAGGAGAATAAACGAATACGGCGCCAACGTGCAGGAGAACGCGAAGCCCGCTTTCCCGGCGGAGTATCTCTTCGTCACCTTGACGCACGGCTTCCCCGACAACCCGACCCCTATCTTTAAACAGGTCAACTTCCCCATCGAGAACCGCGAGTCCATCGGTGAGAGTCAAGAGCACTCGGCCGCAGCGAAGGCGCTCAAGGTTTCTGGAGGTTCAGGTCCTTCCCAGGACGGCCTAGAAGTATCCAACTTTCACCTGCTGTGCTTCATTCACGGCATGGGTGTTCTATCCAAGGTAAGTCTACATAACATTTTGGGTGTCGCAAGTTCATGGATCGAAGCCGGGCGGGACTAACTTCTTTTTTCCCCTCTTCTCTTTTTCTTTTCCTACCTCAGGACGAAGAAGCACTCTTATGCCGAGTCGCGACCCAGCACGACCTGGCCGATTCGTTCCAACTCCGTTCCACCGACGGATGGCAGACCCTCCAGGCCATCCTGCAATCGACTGGTGAGACACCCCCCAAGAAGAGGAGCCATAAGAAACGCCTCCGGGAGTCCGAGGGCGATGCTTGCACTTCCACTTCCTCGTCTGCCAATTCAAGCCCATTCCCCGCTGTCCTTTCTTCCGAGGCCGCTAATGGTGTCGGCCATTTCCCGGGCCGTCGCGGCGAGTCGGGTGAACCGCTTGCTAAACGATTTGCTGCCTGCAGGCTGAACTCTGCATCGTCACGTTCATCTTCTTCGTCTTAAGACGTTGCTCTGTTCCTCCTCCGGTCTTATTTTTTTATCACTTCTTCGTCTTCTTTGGGACTCCAGGAGAGAGAACTTCGACGAGACGTTTTCACTACGGCCTCCCTGGGTGTGTTCTGGGCCCCGTGTCGGAGAGGAAGGGGGGGACTCACTTCACCGGCGTTATAACGCGAGAGCATGACGGAACCGACGCGGTACTCGATCCCGACGATTTCGAATTGGCCAGGACGAGAGACCATTAGTTGGAAGTATTGGGGGGCTGTCACGATCTTTATAGGGGTCAAAAACCACGAGACTTGCGGAAGTGGTCTTTTATTACCAATAGAGAGGTGGAGCGACGCAAAAACAGGGGGCTACGGCGGTGGAACAAGGAGCTTGAGCCTCTTGAGAAGCCTCCCAAGAATATGACCATGTGTACAAGTTTCGGTTTGCTTGTGATCAAGTCCTTGTCGTGGGATGAGCTTGTCCCATTACCCGTGAAACTCGAGACTGGAGGGGATGGTCAGGGGACATTCAAGGAGACAAAGGGTAAGTAAGCCCCGAATCACCCAGAAAATGTGTCGAGGGCCTAATGGTTTTTTATGCTTGCTTTGCTTTGCTTTGCTTTTCTTTTGTATTACTCTCTAACTCCATCCCTTCAATGTCCCTGGATGTCGACCAAGTGATCGTTACATCTCCGCCATCTCCCCTCCCTCTCGCATTTCTTCTTCTTTTTTTATTCTTTTCTTTTCCTTTTGCTTCTCTAGAATCTAAGCCGAGAACACGGAGAACAAGAACGGAGCCAAGCAGGGGGGAAGCCACTGGGAAGAAAAGAATATAACCCATCCATCCACACCAACTTCGCCCTAATAATCCAACGCCTACTTTACTTCCAAATGTTGCGAAATGAACAGACAGGGTTAAATTGACACACGATATTTGAAAAGAAGAAAGACTGGGAAAGGGGTGCGGGGGGTATGAAAAACAAGACACGACCCATTGCGTTTTATCTGCGATGCAGTGGGCGATTTTTCCTTTTTTCCTTTTTTTTCTCTTGGCTAATATTTACAGCGGCTTGCCGCCGATGAACTCGGACCACCGGCGGACTTCGGAGGGGACGCCCTCAGGACGGGGCAGCTTCTCGCTCATGCATTGGGCGAAGAGCATGGCGGTCTGTCACGAAAGTTAGTCTCGTGTGTTCTGTGTAGAGAGAGGGGAAAAAAAAAAAAAAAAAAGAGGGCAAAACATACCTGAGGCTCCATGAACAGGGGAACGCCAAAGTCGACGGCGTTACGGCGCATGACATAGTCGACGTCCATGACGGTCTTGCCGCGGGCCCGGGCCAGGTTGAAGACGCCGCGGATGTCGTACTTCTGGAACACCTCGCGGAGGGCGCGCTTGTCCTCCTTGGGGAACTCGATGACATCCACAGTCACATTGTCGCGGGCGCTGGACTCGATGAACTGCTTCACCTCGTCGTCGGCCGCGTACAGCTTGTAGCCGAGCGGGGCGAGGTAGTCGACCACGGTGATGAGCCACTTGCGGTCGAGCTGGCCGCCGAAGAGGAGGCCCTCGCCGGGCTCGGGCATGCGGAAGTTCATGGTCGACTGGAGGGAGGCCCAGTAGGCGTCGACGAGGTTCTTGCCGAAGCAGGCGATCTCGCCCGTGCTGGCCATCTCGACGCCCAGGAAGGGGTCGGCGCCGGCGAGGCGGGTCCAGGAGAACTGCGGCACCTTGGTGGCGAGGTAGTCCCGCTTGACGGCCATGAGGTCCTCCGGCTGCGGCACCTGCTGGCCGACGAGGGCCTTGGTGGCCACCTCGATGAAGTTGCGGCCGAGCACCTTGCTGACGAAGGGGAACGACCGCGACGCGCGGAGGTTGCACTCGATGACCTTGAGCGCCGGCTTGCCGCCGTTCGGGTCGTCGGCCTTGATGATCTGCATGTTGAAGGGGCCCGTGATGCGCCAGGCCTTGGCCACCTTCTCGGCGATCTCCTTGACGCCGTCCATGGTGGCCTGGTCGAGGTTCGCGGGCGGGAGCACCAGGGTGGCGTCGCCCGAGTGCACGCCGGCCTGCTCGACGTGCTCCGAGACGGCGTGCAGGATCAGCTTGCCCTCCGAGGCCACGCCGTCGACGTCGATCTCCTGCGCGCCCTCGATGAACTTGGTGATGACGACGGGGTGGTCGGGCGAGACGTCGCTGGCGGCTTCCAGCTTCTCCTTGAGGTCCTCCTGGCTGCGGATGACGGTCATGGCGGCACCGGACAGCACGTAGCTGGGCCGGACGAGGACGGGGTAGCCGACCTCGTTGGCGAAGACCTCGGCCTCTTCCACGGACGTCAGCTCCTTCCACGCGGGCTGGTCGACGCCGATGCTGTCGAGGATCTCGGAGAATTTTTGCCGGTCCTCGGCCTTGTCGATGTCCTTGGGGTCGGTGCCCAGCACCTTCGCGCCGCCCGTCTCCTGGAGGCGGAGGGCGATGTTCTGGGGCAGCTGACCACCGACGGAGACGACGACACCGGAAGCCGTCTCGAGCTCGTAGATGTCCATGACACGCTCGTAGTTCAGCTCCTCGAAGTAGAGCCTATCGGCGGTGTCGAAGTCGGTCGAGTACGTCTCGGGGTTGTAGTTGACCATGATGGTCTTGTTCCCCATCTGGCGCAGGGTCTGGGTGGCACTGACGGCGCACCAGTCGAACTCGACGGAGCTTCCGATACGGTAGACACCGCTGCCCAGGATGATGATGCCGTTGTCCTCGAAGGTCACGTCGTGCGACGACGCGTTATAGGTGGTGTAGAGGTAGTTGGTGTCGGCGGGGAACTCGGCGGCGAGGGTATCGATCTTCTTGACCCACGGGCGGATGCCGAACTGCTTGCGAAGATTCCGGACGGAGTCCTCGTCGCTGTGGATCGCCAGGGCGATCTGCTTGTCGGAGAAGCCCATCTTCTTGGCCTTGAGGACCAGGTCCTTCTTGAGAGCGTCCAGGCTGCCGGCCTCCTGCAGCTCGCGCGTGGTGTCGACGATGTTCTCCAGCTTGTAGAGGAACCACTTGTCGATCTTGGTCAGGTCGTGGATCCTGTCGACAGTGTAATTCTCATGAAGCATGGCCTGGCCGACGGCCAACCAGCGGCGGTCGGTGGGGTTCTGCAGCTCGTGGTCGAGGTCGTCGAACTTGGCGCCCTGGAATCCGACGAACTTGGGGTCCACCATGCGGATGGCCTTTTGGAACGACTCCTCGAAGGTCCGGCCGATGGCCATGACCTCACCAACGGACTTCATGGCACTGCCGATATCCCGCTTCACGTGCTGGAACTTGGACAAGTCCCAGCGGGGGATCTTGGTGACGATGTAGTCGAGGGAGGGCTCGAAGTTGGCGGTGGTCGTCTTGGTCACGGCGTTGGGGAGCTCGGGAAGGCTGTGGCCGAGGCCGATCTTGGCAGCGGTGTAGGCGAGAGGGTAACCGGTGGCCTTGGAAGCGAGGGCCGAAGAGCGGGAAAGACGGGCGTTGACCTCGATGACGCGGTAGTCGAGGCCGTCCGGCTGGAGGGCGTACTGCACATTGCACTCGCCGACGACGCCGAGATGCCTGACGATCTTGATGGCGGCGGACCGCAGCATGTGGTACTCCTCATCGCTCAGGGTCTGACTCGGGGCCACGACGATCGAGTCACCGGTGTGGATACCGAGAGGGTCGAAGTTCTCCATGTTGCACACGGTGATGCAGTTGTTCTTGGCATCGCGGACAACCTCGTACTCGACCTCCTTCCAGCCCTTGAGAGACTTCTCGACCAAGATCTGGGGGGACAGGGTCAAGGAGCGGGCGGCCATGTTGTGCAGCTCCTCCTCGTTGTTGGCGAAGCCGGAGCCCAGACCGCCGAGGGCGTAGGCGGCGCGCACGATGATGGGGTAGCCGATCTTCTCGGCGGCCTCGAGAGCCTCGTCGACGGTGCCGACGGCGACGGATTTGGCGATGGGGATGTCGATCTCGTCGAGGGCGCGGGCGAACAGGTCGCGGTCCTCGCTGACCTCGAGAGTGCGGACGCTGGTTCCCAGCACCTTGACGCCGTACTTCTCGAACAGGCCCATGCGCTGCATCTGCACGCCCAAGTTCAGGGCGGTCTGACCGCCGAAGGAGAGGAAGATGCCGTCGGGCTTTTCCCTCTCGATGACATAGGTGACATATTCGGGGGTGACGGGAAGGTAGTAGACCTCATCGGCGAGGGTGTGGTTGGTCTGGATGGTCGCAATGTTGGGGTTGATGAGAACGGAGGAGACGCCAGCCTCCTTGAGAGCTTTCAGAGCTTGGGAGCCTGGAGAGATGATGTATCTTGTTAGTTGATGACTTGTACGTAGCAGAGGAGGCATTGGCAAGTGCCAACTATATGTGTATGCATGTACGTGTGTGCATGTATGAGAGAGGAAGAGGGTGTGTATGAGTCACGCTCCAAGATGCCTCTCAAGATATCCCAACAGCCGGGTAGATCGGGCGCAAGAAGACAAGAATGCCAAAGAGAGAATCTGGGAGTACGAACCTGAGTAGTCAAACTCGCCAGCTTGACCAATGGCCAAACCACCACTGCCAATGACCAACACCTTCTTCACATCGACAATCTCCTGGGGCTTGATGACACCGCTCTCGAGGTAAGCCCTGGGGTTCGGGGCCGCTTGAACGCCGGCGTTGCAGCGCAGCGCGGAGGAAGAGAAGAGGCGCTTCTGATCTAGGCGAGCCCTAGCATGGGAGGTCTGCAGGGCAGTATAGGTCTTGGGAGAGGCGGCGGCGAGGGAGAAGTGGCGGATGGGTAGAGCGGCCGGGACTCGTCGACCATGTCGGAAGACGGCCGGCGCCCGGCCTGCCAGGGAGTGGGACATGGCCGACGGCATTGCTCTATTTGGTCCAGGCAAGGTAGGTCAATGTCAATCGTCGATGGTCAAGGAAAGGAAAGAGAGGAAAATGGAGGGTTGTTTCTTGTAGAGCGGACGGCGGAGGGAGGAGGGAGGAGGAGAGAGGGTGTGTGATTGACAGATCGTGACCTTGGGACCAAAGGGAAGAGGGAATAGAAAATGGAGGACAAAGGCCAAGTAGAAGAGAAGAAGAGAGGGGGTTGTAAAAAGTTTTGTGACTTGGAGTGACTCGTGGTGACTCGTTTCTCTCTCCCCAGGCTAGTGAGGTAAAGGTCAGGTACTCCGTACAGCTACCGTCAAACTAAGGTACCTTATTACGGTGCCGGTGTGCAATGTTCCGATGAGACTTGCGCAGTTACCCAGCAAATTGGTACAAAAAAAAAAAAAAAAAAAAAAAAGGCGGTCACCCACCCCCAAAAAAAGTCCAACTTGTCGATCCCCGATGTTGAGATGGCCGATAAGATAAGGGAATTTTTTGTTGCAGCCGGCGTCGGCGGTATTCACCAATCATAAGAGGTATAGGCGACAGGGGTGCTGTCCGTTTTGGGAATTGTCCCAATGACGGACACTGAAATGTGGTCTCCACCCACAACAACCCCTGTCAGGCACCATGCCTGGTCCAGGAAGACGGTGAATCGGCATCGGTGTGAGTACCGGTATGTTCATGGGTATCTGCAATGCGACCACACCATTTCACTGGAGTTTTACAGTGGCGAGTATTATAGAATGAACTTCTATTCTTTTCTTTTCTCAACTCATTTGTCACAGTCTTGTGTGGTATGAATAATAATTTGTCTCCTATATCGGAGCCCTGAGCTATCCACAACGAGGTGCAATGACAACACCGTGCAATGACAGTCATTCCCGACCCACCGTTTCTGCAATTGAGCTGGGTGTGTGTTCCCTTGACTCACACCTATAGTGCAGAATGAGACGAAATGGTAAGTCTTTTTTACATGGATTTTCATTGGCCAATGGGTTTATTTTGCCGCTTTTAGCTGGCAAGCCCAGTTCTGTCCGGATGCTAACCCGTCACGTCTTGGCGGCGAGCCGATTTCGGCCCATCCGTCAAACTTCCGTCAAACTGTACGAAGTACAGAGTGCGGGAAAACAGGGAAAACATGATAATCGACTTCTTAAAATGTTCGCGACTACTATTGGCAGCGACTCTTTTGTGATGATGGCATCTTCTTCGGCCATGGTGTCAAGGAAAGCGCGGGGGATCCCAAAACAGGAAGGGAAGGACAGAGTTGACGAGGCTGGTGATAACTTCAGCCCGAATGCTTGGCAGAATGGACAACGAACTCAATTTTCTTCTTTCATTTACCCGTACAACGGCAAATAGATGGTAATTTTTTTTTACCGTGCCGAACAAAAGAAGTACCCGTACCTGGCCAGCCCTCTTCATACAGTCATATACTTCGTCTTTTTATCGGCTCTTTATCTGGTCTGCTTCGTCTTGTCTAATTCGTGTCTCTCCCTTTCTTCTACTATTGCAATACGCAGGAAAGAAGAAAAAGATCCCTTAACTCTTCTCGAGTCTCACCGCCGGGTTCCTCTCAATAAAGTTGAGGTCAACCTTGTGGCCCAACAGCTCACGAATATTCGAAATGCCGTACTTGATCATCGTCGGCCGCTCCAAGCTCAAACCCCATCCGTACACCCTCATGTCCTTCGGCAGGCCCATGGTCTCCAGCATCTCCGGCCGGAACATGCCGCTGTTGCCAATCTCCACCAGCTTCTTGAGGCCCTTGTGGTAGCTGAAGATCTCCATGCTGGGCTCGGTGTAGGGGTTGTAGGCCGGCTTGAACTTGAGGTCGGTGATGCCCATCTTGTTGAAGAAGATCTCCATAAACTCCATCAGCCCGCCCAGCGTCAGCCCGTAGTCGGCGATGACGCCCTCGACCTGGTGGAACTCGGCCAAGTGCGTGGCGTCGACCGTCTCGTTGCGGAACACGCGGTCGATGGAGAAGTAGCGCGCCGGCGGCGGCCGCCCGTCGGGCCCCTTCTTCGACGCCAGCTTGTGCAGCATCGCCGCCGAGATGGCCGTCGTGTGCGTCCGCAGCACCAGCTTCTGCGCCTCCTCCCCCGCCCACGGGTACCGGTACCCTATCGACCCGTACTTGCCGTCCTGGTGCACCTGCTTCACGTTGTCCCAGTACGCCGCGTAGTCCGCCTGGTCGTCCGCCGACTCGGGCCCGGGCTTGCCGCCCACCTTGGGGTCCGCCACGTAGAACGTGTCCTGGAGGTCGCGCGCCGGGTGCTGCTGCGGGACGTAGAGCGCGTCGAAGTTCCAGAAGCCCGTCTCGACGTACCGGTTCGTCGGCATCTCTTCGAAGCCCATCTCGAAGAAGATCTGCCGGAACTCGTGCCGCACCTTGTTCAGCGGGTGGAGCGCGCCCGCGTTCTGCACCGCGCCCAGTGCCTTGAAGTTGTAGGGCTTGAAGTCGGCCGTCTTCCATGCCCCCGACGTGATCATGTCCACCGTCAGGTCGGTCTCCTCCTTCTTGATCTCCAGCGCGAATTCGGGCCCCTTGCGGATCTTGAAGCTGATCACCTTTTGCGTCTTGACCAGCTTGCGCTTCTTGAGCTCGCTAATAATCTTCGGTTCGTGTGTCTTCTCCTGTTGAATGTGCTTGAGCTGTTTTTGCGTGACATCCTCGATCGAACCGACCTGTATGACCCGTTACATATTAGCATGTTTCCATCTCTTTCGTTTGAGTATACCTCGTTGTAGACCTTACGCTTGCCACCAGCTTGCCGTCCTTGCTCTTGCTAATCCACTTCTCCTTGAAGGCTTTGCCTTGTCCCACTTTCGTCACCGTCTTATCGCCGATGGTCTTTTCGAGATCCGCGACACTCAGCCCCTCCACAGCTTGACGAAGAGCCTCGAACACCCGGGCCTCGTGACTGCCATGTTCCGCAATCTGTAGACCTTCCGGTTCCAGAGCAGCCTCTTCTCTCTCGATGGGTTCGTAGATGATCATAGACCGGCTCGCGAGCCGGTCGAGTGCCGCCTTGAGATCTGTGAAAGCCGACTCGGGGAACGATTCGGTCGAGAGGATAGGCTCTTTCTGAGACAGGGCGTGAAGGACCCGCGACGTCAAATCCCCGGAGGGCGGTGCACCATCTGTTGTCGTCATGTTGTGCAGCGAATTCTCGACGTTTCGCCGTTTCCTTCTGGGGGGGAGGTTCGTGGTGTTGAACTGCAGGCAGTTTGAGTCACCGAGTGAGGTTTCTCGGCAGAATTCAGATATGGGAACTTATCAGAGAATGGCGGGGCATTTGCGTCGGAGGGTTGTCAAGGCTGAGGGGCAAGTAGGAGCCCAAGGGAGTCCACCAATTACATCACGCGTAGGACGACACTGGGATCCACAGGAGATCGACGTACCATGTACCTATGTACTTATGTACCTATGTACCGTTCTGGTCGATTGCTTCGTACTCCTCCGTACCTAATTATCCCCCGTGAGCTTCCGAACCTACTCAGTACCTTAAGGTAGCCTACACAATAAGCACCTAATACCACGAACCGCAGCCTCTCCAACTTCCCATTTCTGTGACAGAACCTCTATTGACGGCGGTACAGTCGGGAGCCGCTCGAAGACGAAACATCCAACGCAGTCCTCCCCCTACAACACGATGGTTCCCAGCTGTCGACATCTGAATAGGCTATGAACAACCCTCGTCATTTCCGTCCGATTCATCTTCGCTTTGCTTCAACAAACCCGTAAACATCAATGAGGCCATCGAGCTATGAGCAGCGATGACACCCCCCGCGACCCGGCGGCATCCTCAACTTCAAACGACAACGACCCCGACGATGGCATGAATACTCGTGACGTGCCGTACATGCCACGCCGGGGGGACAGTGGCTCGAGCAGGCGGACGCCGCGTCGCAGGGCACACAGGAAGCCCGTTAAAACCGACCCGGGTCTCGCAAAGAAGTCACAGTTCCTTACTCACCTCCTTAAACACCTGGATCTCCTGGTATACGCCGAGATCGCTACGATCTACTACATGGAGTATGT